GAAATAGTCATTACGCAACCTTAGATGATTATTTTATTACTATTTGAAGGATAAATTTTCGGATTTCTTGTCGGAATGTTCATTCTAAAAATGAGAATCCAACAAGCGAAATGTTACCTCTGTTTGATCAATAAAGTAGTCACTAGCTGTAATATTTTGCTTGCTTACTCAGTATTTGTATTCTAATATTTGTAAAATGTATTCTGTAACCATGTAAATGCTGATGATTTGTATTTGGGGGAAAACAGTAGCTACGTCAATTACGTCAATAGAGCAGAAATATAACATTACATACTTTAAAGTTTCTTCTGTTAATTCTCAAATCGGTTATAAATTAAGCATTTTCCTGTGTAGATATATTCAATAGGTCATTCGTTTTCAGGTAAGTAATGGTTCGTAAACTGCATGGGAAATGACACACAGTGATCTTACATAAAGATCAATGTTTTTAATGATACTTATTTAAAATAAGGAACCAATGTAACGGCGTCAAGACAATCAATTCAACATGCCTTTTTCTACAGATTTCTAAAACTGTAAATGAATCTGACGTTGATATTATATTGTGTACTAAATCGACCTAATTTAATCCTCTATTTGCAATTATATTTTTCAAAATTCATCTGGAATTAATTTCAAGGTGCATATTTTTTGTAAACATTATGTAGATCTAAAGAGAAAGTTTAGTATGTCCATTTGCTTGTTAAATATATAAAAGCATACGGCTTAGCAACGATTCACGCGCGTGTACAGAAACTTCCGGACTTTATCTCTTGTGTTATTCTCCGACATTATCATTCAAAATCCTAAAACCCATGAAAAGATCATTTCCCACGTTCGAATATAGTACAGAAATCATACATTTACCAAGTGTGTTTAAACCTTTAACCAAATTATCTACTTTATTCCCACTTTTTGTACAATCCATTTCATTGGTTACCTTTGGCAACTTCACAGAAAAGTAACGCTACGAATTTTGATGGATGCATCTAAATGTAAACATTTTCAAGAGTTCTTTTCGTTAAACTTGTATTTTTGCTTTAGTTTTTTGGGTTTAGTCCATACATGGCGACTTGTATAACTGTTGAAGTGGTAATAATTCACACACCTACATTGACGAGTGTGCGACTCGAACGCATGTGGATAGATGTGAGATAACAGTGATCGACAAAGACGAGTGCTTTAGACAACGCGGCTTCTAGAGGCCCAACAAATTAGTTACATATGAGTATTTGCAAAGTTAAAACTTTTGTATCCCACAGAGGGGATGTATCCAAAGATCAAACAGATAAATCATGTTTCTATGAAGTGATGCGACCTTTAAAAAATCTGTGTTATCTATTTAAAATATATTAAAAAGTCATAATTTTTTGACCACCTGAAATGTAGCTTTGAACGCAAGCGACCAGTTAAGACATGTATAAATATCAAAATTTTCGTATTGCATGTGACACTCATAACATCCCCTCATAATATCTGGGGAATATTTTATTCTTACCAGTATTTTCTCGTACAGTGCACATAATAATTTAAATTTATGTACTTATGACAGGACTTCTAATCCACGCAAATAATATGTGAAGAGAAACTAGGTCTTAGGCTGCAAATACAAATACTTTGTTAGATAATTTATTAACCTTGATAAACTCAAAAGAGTAAATGTATGAAATAATATAGTAGATGTTTATTAAATAAATTTAAATAGCCTTTACAGTGTGGGATCCATTTTATTTTTTATTTAAGTGACACATGTTAGAGACGTAATTTATCGACAACCTTGATTATAGTTAAGAACCCAAGGCCAAAGTTATTAAGTTATTCTCTCTCTCTCTCTCTCTCTCTCTCTCTCTCTCTCTCTCTCTCTCTCTCTCTCTCTCTCTCTCTCTCTCTCTCTCTCTCTCTCTCTCTCTCTCTCTCTCTCTCTCTCTCTCTCCTATGTTCATCATCAGCATGATTATTTTTATACGGGTAAGAAATTACAACATACAATTTTTTCATTTTAAATATGTCTTAGCGAATCATACTATTATATGCTTATAGTGTTCCTGTTATTGCAAAAGTTGGCATATGAAAAATTCAAAACCATATAACGTATTCACGTATGACAAACGTTTCAATCGACACAAACAACTTGTGAAATGAAAACAGGTCCTAGGGTGGTTATATATACCCAATACTTTTAAACTTGGATAAAATTAATATAAAACGAAAACGCCTCTAAAAATCGTTGATTGTGAAATGGAGCACACAATTACACATTATGCGGTTACATAAAAAGTATAAATTGACTTTAAATTGGCTGTACAACCAGAAGTCTTGTTTATCTTTCTTTAGAGATAAACTCAGCATACTGTGTACAATAACATTCATGGTTCTGACCCGATGTCGTTGATTTCTAAATAGTTTTTCAGACGTTTGTTTCATTAAAACTGATAATGTCAGATTAATAACTCTATCACTCTGCCTATCCGTCTCTCTGTCATTCTGTCTCTCTACCTATCCATCTGTCTCTCTATTGAACCAAAGAACGAAGGAATATTGGGAAATTCAGAATCAAACAGTTTGGCACCGGAAACGGGGCAAAAAATCTATTTTGTCATTCCGTTATTATAATAAGGAAAGAAATCCAAATATAAAAAGCAGAACAGTACAAAACACATGTATATCAAACTCAGATCCAGTCAATAAAGAATCGGTAAAACTAAAAATGGAAAAACATCCCAGCTTGTAATATATTCAATTATAAGAGAAATGTTGACGAAACATGGACATTAAATGCAGAAATCGAAAATGTGATACGTTTAGCAATGCTAATTTTGGTTATACGACAAATCCACACTTTTGTGGATCCACACTTTTGTAGTATCCGTCCTTGCATCAGCCACAAAGATGGAAGATGAATACGATATAGAACGGGTAATACAAGCACCGACTGCAACATACTAAGCCGCTTAGACAGTAGCATACATTTCGCCTTCAGAGGTATACATGTCAGTTGAGAGAGTGGGTTTATAGATTAACTACACCATATAGCAGAGTCTGGTGTCTCAAAGGTTAGTGGTACGAAAATTTAGAGCTCTATAACGCTGAAGTTTATCTCTACCAATATACCATATTTAACATTTTCTAACTGATTTATTGTATTACTACTGTCGTGTACATTAGATTTAATTGTTTGAATGTTAATTTTATTTTTTTATTCCAGTACATGATATTGTAATGTAACATTGTTTACTGGACTTTGATCTTGTCCAAAATAGAATTCAGTTATGTTTGACCTGACTGACATTTTTATTTTTTTTTTTATTTTTTGATGTAAACAACTAATGATAGCTGCGTTATTTTCTATGGGTATAAGCTCATTGACAAAATTATTTTTCAAGTAAACACGTTGATTTGAATCGGGTTTTGTGGATTTTAAAATGAATTTTAAAGTAGAATATGTTTTAAATAAACAAGGCTCATGGATCATTCAAGAAGATTATTTTCAATCGGGTAATGGTTGTTTGTATAAAAAAAGACTAATTTGTGACCTGAGGTCAAACAGAGAACTATATCATCTTCTGACTGTCAGCATTTTACCAGATGCGCTTTAACATCTGGCACTTTAAGTTGCATTATGATGTGTCTAGTTTGGGCAGAATTTTATTTTCTTCAAGTTATTGAAGTGATTTTTTTTCTGGAAATGCAAAATTGCTCTGACAAAATTCGTGAATAAAGACAGTATATATGGAATTTATACTGAATTCAAACCTGGAATACTATTTCTGCAATAACAACAATAGACTGCTGAAACATTAGTACAGCGCAGACCACAAATGATACTAACAAATTCCCATTAATACAAAAATGAAACTACAATACAAAAGCATGCTGACAACAACTAAACATTTATAAGCCTTTAAGTATGCTCTTGTAATCGAAATAGATGTTTTTAACAGCGCTCATGAATGAGTTCAATGTGCCTCCGTCTCTACGAACTATGTCCAAAGTTGAGCGTAAGTTTTTAAATTTGATGTAAACATGGGTAGAATTTTTGATATGTATAAAAGCAATGGAGCATTGTGAACCGATTTTATGTATTAATATGGATCGACACGGGTAGTCATTGATAATTAGAGAGCAGGGGGGTTCAGTTCTTCGCACTCTAAAGACCATACGAGCAGTCATTTATTGAACTGTTTAATGTTCCTGCAGACGAATCAGATAAATAAAATACAATATCACAGTTTTGACGTACTTGAGAATACGCAAGTTTTGTTTGCGGCATCAACCGGAAGAAAATTTGTGAATGTAGCCGATGCGTCTCATGTAAAGTTATGCAACAGTGAATTTGTTCATTACATGTTGGTGTAATAGGAATGTACTCTAGAGAGTAACACATAAGTTTCGTACTGACTGCATAACGGTGACATTGCTGATACTTATTGTTTGAGGTAGAGAATACCAATGAAAAAGTCTTTGCATGGTAACCAGGATGGCTTCAGGTTTAATATCATTCATCTTTTACAGTTTATTAAATGTCATCAATGACTTCACATAGAAAATGCACCTCAACTTCAGTTGGGCAGCCCAATGTTTATATTTGAGTGTCATCAGCGCACAATTGCTGAGACCTCGGATGTTGAAGTATGACACTGGAGAATAGATGAGTGCATTGATTTAAGTGAATATGGCCTAGAACAGCACCTTGTGGAACGCCACAACATAAATAAACTGGGTTAGAATGTTTTTCATTTACTGACACAATGTATGTCCTGTTAACTAAGTAGGACTTGAACCATAGCAAGGGTATATCATGAATACCAAATACATGCTGTAGTCAGTAAAGTAATATATTATTGTATTAAATGCATAAATGCCGCAGATTAGTCAAAAGAGGTTAGGAATATATATATATATATATATATATATATATATATATATATATATATATATATATATATATATATATATATATATATATATATATATATATATATATATATATATATAAAACAGGCTTCGGTGGCCTAGTGGTTAGAGCGCCCGCCTCTGATGCAAAAAGTTTTGGGTGCGATCCCCGGTCGAGTCATACCATAAGCATACAAAAATGGTACTAACAGCTGCCTCGCTTGGCGCTCAGCATTAGACGGTTATTGCTAGGTCTGGTCGGCCTGGTGTCAGGATAATGTGACTGAGTGGGACATCATGCTACATGTCTACGGCATGTTGCCCCAGTGCTAGACATCACTATACACTGCCACACCTCAGACATCGTAACGATATGACTGAAAAATTGTTAAAGCTACGTTATAAATCATAATCACATCACGCACAGACACAGACACAGACACACACACACGTATATATATATATATATATATATATATATATATATATATATATATATATATATATATATATATATATATGTGTGTGTGTGTGTGTGAGAGAGAGAGAGTGTGTGTGTTTGTGTGTGTGTTACGAGTCATTTCTCTCAACATACGTAAAATGCAAACGTTAAAAGCAGCAAGCGATGTCAGATTCTGCAAAAATTTCTCTAAAATACATAGTGAAAATAAATAGAACCCTCTATATTGTGAACAAACTCCCAAAATAATCATTGAATTACATTCAAAATACCTAATAAAATATTATGGACAAATTTTAGTAGAAATCCAGAATAAATCCAACGGTGGAAGTGTTGATGTGTAAGTGTTGGTTCGCACGTCTTGATGTGCCAACTGTCTTATGCTGGATCACAATAATACATTCCAAGAATATAATCTTCATTTGTAATGTCACTCTAAATTCAAGTCTTTATTTCAAATAATGTTATCAGAGCACTTTGTATTTCCACAAAAGACATAATTTTATTAATTCTAAATCAAATACTGTAAGGCACAATAACTTGATCCTATTCGGAAGTTAAAGCACGGATCAATAATTTTCCCAGTTACAGAACATACATTGAATCTGAACTAGATATGTAAGTACAACGAGTAGGATGTTAAGATAGCTTTACAACGTCGTCGATACATACAAAAATTTGTTGTTTTTTTTTTTGTTACTTTACCGTGGTTCAGTTTTTCAAAACCTTTCAAGGAGATTGAATGACCGATTGAGAAACAGTAATTATAAATGTTAGATAAACGATTTTTTGTGTTTTATATAAATATGATAACTTCGTATATGTTGCCAGCAAGGTCGTTCTGAAGAAGCAAATCCAACGAACAAAATTATACTTTTGTTATTGCAGGACGATGCCTGGTTACTAGCCATAATAATTTGCAGCTGACTGTATTAGAAAGATAACGAAGGCTAAGCAAAACATCATAATATATGAAGCCGAAATATAACGTCAAATAATTTTATATTTTTATGTTAATTATCATATTGGTTATTAATCAGATATTTTCCTGTGCAAGTCTATACAGAAGATGATGGTATGGTAATTATTGTATGGATTAAAACTATTAATTCTGCCCACTATTATCAAGATTCTACTACATAATCCAGGGATAGCACTGTCTGGTATATATTTATAATTCTTTGTAATAAAAAAAAATCCTATATACCTTGAGTTCTTTCATAGGAATCTAGAACAACTGTGTGTGTATCTATATATACATATATATATATATGTATATATATATATATATATATATATATATATATATATATATATATATATATATATATATATTTTTATATATATATATATATATATATATATATATATGAGAGAATTATATACTAGGTCGTCATGCGAGTGTGTCTGCTAACACCGACTCAGTACCGTCATTTTTGGTGATGCGTGCTTAGTCGTGACGGTATATGGTCTGGTGCGTGCAGGCAAGTTGATGGGTGTCATTTACTCGCAGACCTAGGTTCGAAACTCCGCAGATTACGAATTTAATTTATCTAACCCATATGATAGTATATAAAATACTTAATAGTTGCATTACTTACACGCTTGACTGTAAAAGATCATTCTAAATGACCAATGTTTATAGTCAATGGCCTCTGACCTTCAATGCGTTAATAGTAACACCGCATGGGATCCATTCAAAGAAAATAGATTGATGTTTAACGTGTAATATTCGAACATGAATATGCAAACAAACAGGCAAAATGTAAACTGGGACTATATAGATTTTAAGACATTAAAATTTAAATACGATAAAGTACGACATATCTGCCGGCAAATGTATAAAATTACAACAACAAAAAGTAACAAGAAGACGAGGTTGGATACAAAAACCAATGGGGTAATGGTCTCAAGAGGGTACACGGCAAATACTTTGTAATCTAATACATAAAACAACAGACTAGGTGTTTGCATTTGGGAAAGAGTTGCCGCATATAACGTTACCTACGCGAGGCAACATTCTTCTCACTGAAAACTTAACGATTATTGGTAATGCACGATTCAGTACAGATTGGCACGGATGGTACTTCTTTGTAAAGAAATGGCTATAAATTATGGTATTACTGATATCCGTTTTCCTTCAGTTAAGTATTCGAAAAAAGTGTTAGAAACAATAACTTATAATTAAACGATCTTATGCCTTTCGTCTCCACGGAGCTTTTTCCATTACACAGCAATGCCCAGTAAGAGTGCCATAAGACAAAATATCGCTGACACTTTTTAAAAATTCCATAAAACAGACTGTGCCTCCACATATCATGACAATTGTTTTAAAATACATAATCTAACATTTATCTACATTTGATTTTTGGCTATACAACACCCACCCACTCTATGAAACATATTCGTTTTACCGATAGCCCTTTCACAGATGATCAAAGAGAATAATACAAAGTTAATTACGTGTACATAAGTGACTCTTTCATAATGTCACTTTTCATCCAGTATCTATGAATTCATCTAAAAGTCGAAAGCTTACCCTTCCAAAAGTACAATCTTACCAACTGTCCGCTAAGATTGAACAATGAAGTTAACTAAGTGGATGTCATTGGGCATGATATAAGTTGTCCAAAGTAAACTCTAACATCCGTATCAGTCTTTCGTATTGAGAATATATGAGTAGATGAACTTTGGCCTCTCTTGCACGTCCATGTGCAGACCTCGCACCTGTTCATCCAGTTTAATCTTGATACTGGAGCATAATCGTTCATTTAATCTCAGCAGCTTGGTTACAGATATGTCAGGTACAAACTTTAAAGTCTATTTAGAATGACTAACAGCACTATTAACAGCACTATTGTTGAGCATAAGTTATCAACCTAAACTTTGAGTTACGATAAGGTCTATGCGATCAGTATTGATATAAATAGACGTAGAGCAAGGACAAGAAAAAATAATATAATGGTGGCGGAAATACGGGCAGTAATTTTGGCCATGGTGGTAGAGTACTCTTCGTTTCTGTGTGAAATAATATGTATTTATTTTGAAATTGTATTGCTACAAGTTTTAATTATGACATGATATGACTACAGACAAATGATCCAGAGACATTGAGCTAAATGTGGATCTTTACGACAGCATAAAACATTTGCTTTGGTACCCAGTTACTTATTCAATAAGTAACCAGTTACTTATTCCCGATTCAACTATTTATAAATATATTTGGTTACTTATTCCTTAGTAACATCCATTTGGTTATTAATTCTTGATTCACAGCTCAATAAGTAATTGGTTATAACTTACTTATTGATTACTTAAAGGCCTTCATGGCTTGCATTGGTGCTATTCTAACCCAGTTAGAGAAATAAGAGCGTTCCATGGTGCCAGTTATATAAAGCTGACTAAAGACAAATCCCGGACTATGTGTAGGAAGAGGTTAAGATGTTGGTGAGTATACATAATAAGCAATTTGAGTTTGAATTAATTAGTTGTGTTAGGTGTTTGGGTCATGTCCTGCTGCTCTTGATGCGAACTAAGAGTATTGGGATTTAAAAAGATTACTAACGACTCAAGTTAACATGAAACCACAAAAAAACAAGTGTGGAATTGGATATTTCTCTTTTGTGTTCATAATGTGTCTGGAGAAGAACTATTTCAAGTATTACGGGTCCAGTAAGCCTTCAATTGACATCGACTGTTGTTTTGAAGTCCTTGGAACTGGGTAAATAAGCATACGGGTAGGTGTAGGAAACACGCTCAATGTGGATCAAATTTATGAATACTTAGTACGAATTAAACCCTGTACCTAAAAAATGTTGATTGCAATGTCTGATGGACAGTTTCTATTCAGGAATATGCTCCAACAGAAACCAAAGTCATTATAAACTTGTTTAACCGATTTTCAGAAATTGGGTTACATAAGGGGAGAGAGTATAATAACTACCGCAGAAAGATTGTATCATACTTATGCAGGTTGGTTAATACGTCTCCACTTTAACGAGTTTTGACATGGACATTTCTTTGACATTTTAGATCTCGGGGATAGTGTCAAGCAACGACAGAAATCCTGAAAAATCCCGTCGAGAGGAATCGGTGAAAAAAGGAACAACCTACGAACACCGGTATGAAAAGGGCCCACAATTTGGATCGATTGAAAAGATTATAATTATTGAAAATATTGATTTCAGCGCTTCTTGGACAATATCTAGTTAGGGATCTCTTCCAACTGTATGAAAGTTTAAAGAAATCCGAAGACCCCCATGTTTTGGAATCCGGAGAATAATATATGATAGTTGTAACAAAGTCCATTAGCGAATTACCTCTTCAGTTCATATCTGGTTCCTTGCAGTTCACCACTAAAATTTTGTTGACATTTATTATTGTAGGACATCTTCTAAACAGAGATATATTTGACTCCCAAAAGTAATTCTGACTGTGTTTGTCTAATGCAAGCGGAAAATAGACTGCAGCCACACTTTGTGATGTCTGAATCCTAACTCAGAGAACTTTGATTTTAACTCCTTTGTGAAAGTCCGTAAAATGTGACCAATCCAAACAGTAGGAAATCTTAGAAGACAATTCGTCGAGACGATTTTTTCCGAATACGCGGTTAGATGAAAGAGGTCTGGCGCAACACATGCGATCAGACGCTTATACCTTACGTATATAGATGGGTCTCCATGTTTCATCTTTAAAGAGTTCTGATAATTGACCTCTAATAT